TTAGTCCTAGTAGAGCACTTTACAATAACAAACTACAATAGTTGATTAGTCCTAGTAGAGCACTTTACAATAACAAACTACAATAGTTGATTAGTCCTAGTATAGCACTTTACAATAACAAACTACAATAGTTGATTAGTCCTAGTAGAAAGAACAAAATGACTATTCCAAATGTTTTAGTCATATAAGTTTTGAAATTCTTTATGACGTTTGTGTTCAGCTAGACACATAGTGTGATTATTTCACAAACTATGTATACAATATACAGAACACTTACGGTAGATGAAAAATCAGAATTATATGTAATTTCATATTCTAAATATCAAAATATATATACATATAACTGTGTGTCAATAAGTTTAGCATCAACCTAACGTACGGATAGTTTAATGCTAATTACCAAAGATGGATAAAAGCTATGTTTTTCAGTCCTCTGTGTGTGTGTTTGTCAGCAAGCTTTCTCGAAAATGGCTGTACGGTTCTCATACGGTAGGAGAAGAAATATTTGAAAATAAATATCTAACTGTGGTTCTAATGTTCTATACTCAGCTGACTGTAATCCACCCTCGTGCCGAACCCAGTCGTGAGGTAGAAAACCATGTGGATCCCGTGCATGTCGCTCATGCTCAAGTCAATGAGCATAAAGTGGAGGCTCCAAAACTGAAGTCGGGACATGTGAACACTAAAGGACTGGATAGTGGGGAAACTGTTACCAAAACCTCTGCAAGTAAGTCTGATCTTCTGTTAGACTTTTTTTTTAATATATGTCATATCTCTTGGATATGTATGATCTTAATTCTGTTAGATATATGTCATATCTCTTGGATATGTATGATCTTAATTCTGTTAGATATATGTCATATCTCTTGGATATGTATGATCTCAATTCTGTTAGATATATGTCATATCTCTTGGATATGTATGATCTTAATTCTGTTAGATATATGTCATATCTCTTGGATATGTATGATCTTAATTCTATTAAATATGTGTCATATCTCTTGGACATGTATGATCTCAATTCTGTTAGATATATGTCATATCTCTTGGATATGTATGATCTTAATTCTATTAAATATGTATCATATCTCTTGGACATGTATGATCTCAATTCTGTTAGATATATGTCATATCTCTTGGATATGTATGATCTTAATTCTATTAAATATGTGTCATATCTCTTGGATATGTATGATCTCAATTCTGTTAGATATATATCATATCTCTTGGATATGTATGATCTTAATTCTGTTGGAGATATGTCATATTCAGGATTCTGTTGAATATGTATGATATTATGGATTCTATTAAATACGCACAATATTATGGATTCTATTAAATATATACAATATTATGGATTCTATTAGATAAGTACAGTATTATGGATTCTATTAGATAAGTACAGTATTATGGATTCTATTAAATATGTACAATATTATGAATTCTTTTGGATGTTTGTGATATTGAGCATTCTGATGGATACACGATACTGAAGATTCCATTGTACACGTGTGGTTTAATGGATTCTGTTTGATATGTATAACTTTTGGGAACAGTATTATTAATCTCAAGTACTGGATGAGAAAAATGAAAGTGTGAAAATAATTATTTTCCTTTTCAACAGGCCATGCTATGACTGTCATCATAGTAGTTTGTGTAGGTTTTCTGGTATCTATGATCGTTCTGGGAGTGATTCGAATTCGTGCAGCCCATCATAGAACTCAGGATTCTCGGGAGGATGAGCAAGAGATGGCTTGGGATGATTCGTCCCTCACAATTACTGTTAATCCTATGGAAGTAAGTGCGAGTGACTTCAAAGTAAACAACTAAGACAAGGTTGTATTAGACCTTTACATATAGTATAGGCTGAACATTCAGCCATTTGTATTTCAGATCTCATGACAGCACATATGATGCCTAATTTGCTAAAAAAACATGAATTGAGATGGATGACTGATATTATCTTATAACAGTGGTTTTGACTTCTCTTAACTAAAGTACTGTATGTTCCGGTTATTTAATTTTTTTTGTAGTATATGGGGAATACATATAGAATGTGACAAGCACTTTCAAAAGGTGAACCTTTTTTCTCCTGGGGCAAACTGGAATGAATTATTAACTTTGATTGTTAATATAAAGTTGATGTCAGTTTGAAAAACATTGATACTCGTTGATCTACATCACCCTTTGGTGGTTCACTCGTAAACTGTCTGCATGCTCATCATAGATGACCTCATTGTCTTATCTCCCTCCTGTAGCAACAGGCCTTCTAGTGCAAATTTGTAGAACTCTGATGTTACCTCACCCCTAGCAATACACTCCCAGTTTGCCCCTAAAGAAGAAAGGTTCACCTTTCGAAAGCACTCGGGTTATAGGATATTGTATTTTTGTATTAAATTGATTTCTTGAACATATCTGTGTTTCTAACATCATGGTGGATAGATATGTCATACCTGTTATCATTATTTAGTTATCTTCTGTATTAGTACTTAAGTTTGTACTATATTATGGAACAACCCTACTGAACTGAAACTAGACCTTTGATGGAGGATGGAACAGCCGAGATGTACCAATAGGTCCCATGTTTTCCCAAAATATTATATTATTTTAGCTGGAAACTGTGAAATCTTACAACTATATTTAGGCCTAACAGTACATTAACTCTTTAGGCCTAACAATACATTAATTCTGTAGGCTTTATGATACATTAATGTGAAGTTGGTTTCTATTTTTTTTTTCTTTTTCAGCAAATTGACCAACCGAATAAGGCTCAGCCCCTACAGGAAGACGAAGACAGTGACAGCTCAGATGACGGTAGCAGCTACCACGATGGGGAGAGCTCTGAGGAAGAAACTGAAAAAGTGAAAGAGCGAGAGCTTGAATGGGATAACTCTAATATTTCGTTCTAACTTTATCAGCCTATTTTTCTTTTCACCTCCTCAGACACTTTGTGTTTCAATCCCCCTTCTATTGTATTAAAAACAATTCATACATGGTGTACTGAATACTACATAGAAAGCAGTAAGACATGTATGTATACCTTTACAATGCAACTGTGAAATGTGACTTGAAGTAAACAAATTCTAAAAATCAGCTTACTTTTTTTTTCTTTACATTCTCTTACTACTTAAATTGTACTTGTTTCTGAGTGCGTTTTTTTAATCATTTAATAAGTTTATGCATTAGTTAGTGCCATAATGATTTCTTAAGCTCACTTTGCTGGCATTTCTACATTCCGGAAGTCGTATAAATCAAAATGTATGTTTCTTTTTAAACTGTTCTTGGCATATTACTTAAATTTTTTTTATACTTTTAAAAGAATACTTGATACAACAATTGATCATGCTTCAGACTATGTCCCTTTTGTTTGTAATGGTCTGTATAATTAGTAGTATGTGATAACCACTTTACATCTAAGACTTGTAGCCTCAAGCAGTTCCCATAAAGCTTTGACAACAGGTTAGTTTAGATTTGTGTTAACACTGGTCTATAGCAGCACAATTTAGATTCGTATTAACAGTGGCGTATAGAAGCATTGCTATTGTCTGAAGAAAAATGGTTTAGGTTTGTCTTAACAATAATCTACACAGGCAAAGTATAGATATGTATAGGTGCGGCATTTACACATGTGCTAATAGTGATCTATAGAGGTCGGTTTTAGATTTGTGTTAACAGACAAAATATAGATATGTGCTCTATAGAGGCAGGGTTTAGGTTTGTGTTAACACAGTGGTCTATTGAAGTAGGGTTTAAGCTTATGTTAACAGTGGTCTATAGAAGCAGGGTTTAGGCTTATGTTAATAGTGTTCTATAAAAGAATGGTTTAGGCTTATGTTAACAGTGGTCTATAAAAGAATGGTTTAGGCTTATGTTAACAGTGGTCTGTCAAAAAAAAGGAGCTTAGGTTTGTGTTATGAGGAATTTTGTCTACTAACACAGTGAACTGAATAACATATCCATGTCTACTTATTAATTATTTTCTTTTTTGTTTTCCATGATCTAATTGTGGGAGCATTTTGCTTCTAACCTCTTCTGTTGAAGATATCTAGCTGTAGTCAGAGCACTTTAGATGTATTTAATACTTGTACTGAAGTTTTTTTCTGTTTGTCTTGTCTTTAATGTGTGTAAACAAATGGTCAATCATTTATGATAGTGTTGTTCAGGTTTCCAAGAGAAAGGTTTTGTTTGCTAAAAGTGTGTGTGGCACTCTAAGAATCTGTCCTAGTAACATCATATCCAATCTAGAGAGGAATACGATAATGACATCCATTAAGGTTTTGAATTCCCTTATTATGTATATATCAATACAAGCAACTACGCTACAAATTCTCGAGCACACAATTTGCTTAAGAAGATAAAATGGAAATTGGGGTGCAAAATTCTAGAGTGTTTAAGTAACTTAAAATGAAGCCTTCTATACATCTTAGTACAGTTGAAAAGTTAAGCCATTATGTATAACAAGGAAGCATAATGCCATTTCAGTGTCTCTCTCTGAACTTTAAATTGTTCTTACCTCAACCTTTAAAATGGGTGAAGAGTTTGTTGGGTAGTATAAGACCAGAATTAGTAATCAGACTTGTTTTCATGGTTCGCGTATGTTACATGACTTCCAAACACAACCTTCTCTCAGGGACGCAGTACTATGAGAGTGGAAAGAATTGAAAAAGTAATTTGTTGTCTCATTTGTGAGTTGTTGTAACTAATGGTGAAACATTCCATCTATATAAATATAATATGCTTTGTTTTGTTTCTGTTGTTGTGGGTAAAGGGAAGCTTTGATTTGATTTCCCATACGCTTCAGGCTGCAGAGGAAGTAAGTAGCTTTTTTCCCAACGATGTGACAGTAGTGAAGAGTTGAAAAGATCTACGAAACATTTTTGAAGTCAATATTTAAATATAGAAGAAAGTGTAAATTTTATGTTTTTATTTGAATGAACTATACATTCTGTAGAAGAATCATGGTCTACTTCTCAAGGGGTCACATTTTCTAATAACTAGGTGAGATAGCTCCAAGTGACTTTATTGAAATCCTTGAATCATATTGTTTTTATAATTTGTAGAGTTTGTAATTTCCTGATGTTTTTCCCAAGATTTTTGAAAACAGACTTATACAGACAATTCAAATTTAGATTTGAATATTAAAGTATCATGCAATTTTTTTTTCTGTATTCAAACTTTTTCTTTTTAATTTACAAAATCTGAGGTTTTGATTTTCTTTAGAGAATTTTTATTTTAAATGCTCGTTCTTAGATTAAAAGTGATAATAATTCCTTGTGTTACATCACCTGTGACAAAACTTGTTTTTTTTTCCATTTTTAGGATAAAAAAAGTAATAATTCAATTGGCCGTGAATGTGTTGTGAGAATTTCATATCAGGCTATATTAAAATAAGTTGAGCTTTTATGTAAAATTGCTTGTTGACTAAAAATTTTGGTTTTTAAGATCCTTTGTTTGTTGGAAAATGATTTGAAACATATATTCATCTTTTAATGGGTATGTACATTTTGTATTTTATATGCAACAGATTTAAGCTAAAGGGTTTTTTTTTCTTTTCTACCAGAATAAACAGTTATCGATTCTCATAGCATCAAAACTTTGAATGTTTGAATTTAAATGTGGCATGTAAGAAAAGAAATTAGGTAACTTTAGGATTTTACTAACAAGAAATTAATTAATCACTGACTTTACAAATCTCAAATTTGGAACTGTCAAATAGATTTTGACAAATTATTTGATATTTTGCTTGGGGATAAAAGTTTAGGTTAAATGTTATAGGTAATTCTTTGATATCTAAAAATTTAAACTTCATGAATCTAAATACTGAATTTTGGTGAAACAAATGCATTAGCCGCAAGTGTTGTTCATCTAATTATATACTGTTTGAAAATATTTGTAAGTGTTGCAATAAAATGCTACATTTTACCCTTGAGTATTGGTTCCTTGTCTGTTACTTTTAGCTGTATATTACAGAAGGACAATTCGGGGTCTAGAGACATTAATTGCTTTCTTCACCCGGGTAAACAAGTATTCGTTCCTTTGTCTGTTACTTTTAGCTGTATATTACAGAAGGATCCAGGACAATTCTTAATGTCTCTAGACCCCTGCTTTCTTCACCCGGGTAAACTTTTACATAAACAACCTTACCAGGGTTTTGAAAAATTACTTTTTAGAAGAATGGGAATATTATATTTACAGGATGAAAAGACGAATATTGTAAAATGGAAATACAAAAATTGTGTGTACAGAATTAGGTAAAAATAATTAAAGTTAGGGAACAATTAATCTCCGAAACTTTAAATATGATACATGAGATATTCAAGGCTTAATTAATTACTAAAGATACTGCTGTACTGTGAAGTCCAAGACAGATATTCTGAATGTAAAAGAAACTGGTTACGTGACTGTCTCCAAATAGATTTACTATTACCTAATTATATAGATTTAAATACAGGAAACAAAAACCATTTAGTCCTTCGAGGTTGTCCTTGCACACACACACACACACACACCCCTGAGAAAAGTAAAATTTAAATGCACCCTATATTTTTCAGGAAATCATTAATACCCCTACAAAATGCTGACCTATATTACTAACTCATTCCAAAAGTCAATCACCCTTTTAGAAAAATGTAACTGTAGCCTAGCCTGTCTTTTTCCCAATTTTATACTTGTGCCATCTTGTCTTATTTTCAGAATACAGCAAAGAAATCAGGGGCCTTTATTTCCTGGCCAGGTGGCTTGACTCGTAATCTGCAGGTTCAAATCCCTGTCACACCAAACATGCTCGCCCTTTCAACTGTGGGGGGCATTATAATGTGATGCTCAATCCCACTATTTGTTGGT